ACATGTGAGAGAACAAGGATGACTTGGGGAAGATCATTCCCCATACCTAGCAAAGCAAAATTCACACTGTAGTTTCTGCTGGAGTAAAAGTTATCTCACTGTCCTGCCCTATCTCTTCCAAAGCCAATGAATTTCTTTCCTGAAATTCTAGCAAATTCTCATTTAGTGAACAAGTATGGTGTAGTGAAAAGAGAGCAGTTCTTGAGTCAGGAGGCCTAGGTATTAGCATTAGCTATCAGATGTGAAGTTGGAAGAAGTGCAAGGCCTTTCTCTGTAAGTACCAGAGATTTATATCATAGCAATTGAAATGTGGAACTTCAAGGAATAATTCTTACTGATTAATTCAAATAACCCAGAACTTCTGGTCTTCCCATGCTATGCATTATAATTATATAATATATATAATTATAATATATAATTATAATGCTGATTTTCCTTATCCTATCACATTTTGTATATTTGGTCATCTGAACTTAATATGTGATTTCATGTGGTTCTTGGGGACAATGCCCAAACTCTGCCTCTTCTTCCCCTGCTTTAGGATTTCTCAATCAACTATAGTACTCATGGAAACCTTATCCCTGATGAGGTCTGGTCACTATATCAGTTGAAGCACTCTCTTCCTATGTGACCTGGGGTAAATTACATTGCTTTCCTTAAATGTTTCTCATCTGAAAGAGATTTGGACCAAAATTATTGAGATCTCTTCCAGTTCTATCATTTTATGAGTCCATGACAGGGACAATAACATTTGAGTTGACACTTAAAAGATAAATTTGAGTTTTGCCAGAGAGAAAAGGAATACAATAATTTTGGATAGATATGTATTAGGTTGATATGATGTAAATAATATATACATGGTGGTGTAAATAAGAGTAAGTGGTACTGAATGACGGAACCTAAATGAAGGATGAGTATGAGATGAATGGGGACATGAGGGACTTGGGGGAAGTAGAATACGAAACCCTCTAATCATCAAAGATCCAGATAGGAACCTGATTTCCCATACCAATCCATAGTCAGAAGTCCAAGGGATCAAGGTCAAGAATTGCACTAAAGATAGACACCCTAATATATTTCACACCACTTAGAGTTCAGTGGTCAATTAAACCTGGGAAACAGGCATTTAATGTCTTCCACCTGAAAATGCAGAATGTACTTTACCATTTTAAAATAACAGAATTTCTGCAGTAAAAAAGCCCGTAGCTTTGTTTAGCTCAGCATTTCCCAAATTATTTAGCCTTATAATACCTCTTCTCTATTTATTTGCATTCCATCAATTAATACGCTAGGGCGTGTCCTCTTTTAGTGTGGTAGAAATCTGAAGGTTAGGATCTAGGGCATTTGAAATGTCAGGAAACGGAAACAGGTATCAGGTGCTAAGGCAGAGAAGGGTCATTGCCTACTTGTTCAAGGCTCTCTCTCAAAGGAAAACTCGTAAAGATGGGAACCCACCCAGGTGAGTTCTCCCCAAAAGAGCCTCTGATTCTGTATTCTCTTTCCTTATATCTTCCAGGTTAGGGATGTAGTGACAGTTCAGTGTCCTAGAATAGGAAGTGGCATCAGCTGTTTAAAGAAAGGGCTTATTGAGTATAAAGTGGCAGGTGGAGTCCTAGTAAACACATCTCAAGCTACCTTAGGCAGACCACAAAAAACACTGCTTTTTCAAAGTTTTAAAGTTTGCTGGCCTTTCTCTGTGCGATGCACTAACATAACAGGTTTGACTCACCAGGAGATGACGCAAACAGCACTGGGGGTTTAAAAAGGCACTGCTTAACCTTGCTAAGAAATGCTGGTTTTAAGAACAGCTGGAATATTGCTTTCTGATCCTCGACCATCAGGCCAGCAAGGACAAGAGATGTTTTGATGAAGAACAACAACAAAAAAAATACTTCATTGGGCAAATAAATCTGGTGAATATTGACAGCACTGAGGAAAACAACTTGACTTAAAATAATCCTTTTGTATGTAAGTAAAGGTGGCACCATAACTGCAGGAATCTGGAGATGCATATTGTATGAAGAGACCATTTCAAAGCATCTTTTCCCATTGACATTTTAAAGAAATATTTTTAATCTGCTCTTGTAAAATCTAGTACTCATCCTTTATCACCAACAACTGAAACAACAGGTTGAAGTTGCACATTATCAATCTGGTGACTCAAACATGAATAGGACCTACTTCTATTTGTTGAATGAAGGGCTTGAGGTAAGAAACAAAGATAATAATGACCTTTGTGGGCAAATACTGAACTAATTATTGAAAAGGAGGAAGTGTAGGATGTAAAAAGATAAACACAATGCCATAGATTTATTGAAAAATAATAATTTCACAATTCCCTACTATGTGCAGAGCACCTGGGCAGATTTAAAGAAAATGAAGTAGTAGAGAATTTAGTTTCTATGGTTTCAGTCAAAGCTGATTTCCTCAAGAAAAAGAAATACACTTGAGCTAGGTCAAATAAGGGGGTTCCATTGACTGGAACACAGAAGAATGACGTATAATCCCAAGGACAGAAAACAAAGTACAAATCAGCCTTCTGGAAACTGGAAACTGTTAGGAACAAAAGAAACACCTCCCTGTATGGCTAAAATTTCTCCTTATGCACTTATGTCACAGTCTTTGTTCTCCTATAAAAATGGGTAGCATGTGACTTTGCCTTATAATGGTGCTGGTTCCAGCTTTGGCTTCATACAAGCATTAGGTCAGAGGAAAATGCGTCACAGCCTTTCATTTGAAATTCTCTCTTCAGAGAAAATATGACGGTTTCTGGACAGAAAATAGACTGAAGGACTTTGGGCAAGGTGCCTATCTCTTTCCAGACAGCAGGGGCTGATTTGCAAATGTGCCTGGTTTGGTCTCTAATATGTACCCCTGGTCTGCCTTTGGACTATGAAAGGACTAGGTCTTTAGAAAGAGATGTGGTTGGGGCCACTGAATGTGACCATTAAATGTGTCTATTATACTGATCCTTAGACAGCTTATATTCACATCAGAAAAGGAGACAAAAATAGCAGGGAAATAGATGTTAACTACTAGGTAACACAGATAATAACACCATATGGGATATGGATATGGAGCTATACTTCAAGAAGGATCTGACTTTGGATCTGGAGGAGAGGGGGCGTTAAACAGATATACACAAATGAAAGGGAGAGTGTTTTGCAGAGAGGAAATGTGAGACTAGTCATATATAGATACTTATGAGCAAAGAGTCTTAAGAGAAGGTATTGTTTCATTTAGGTAAAGCAAAACATTTTTAGAACTTTGTCTTTTTTGGATAATGCAATATACGTTATAAATTACATCAATTCAAAAGTATTTCTTGAGCACCTGCTTTGTGCCAGTAGGGACTACAAACACATGAACAAAACAAAGTATTTTCCCCCAGGGACCTTTTATTTTAGCAGAGGGGGATAGAAAATAAAATTATAATTTTCTGGTGTTGTTAAATGGTATATAATATGATTGGATTTTGTGTCCCCACCCAAATCCTTTCTTGAATTCAAATCCCCAGGTGTTGAGGGAGAGACCAGGTGGGAGGTGATTGGATCACAGAGGCAGTTCCTCTCCTGCTGGTTTTGTGATAGTAAGTGAGTTCTCATGAGATCTGATGGTTTTGTAAGTGTTTGGTATTTCTCTCTTGCCCACTTTCCTCTCTCTCCTGCTGCCATGTGAGAAGGTCCAGGCTTTCTTCCCATTCACCTTCTGCCATGATTGTATGTTTCCTTAGGCCTCCCCAGCCATGTGGAACTGTGAGCCTATTAAACCTCTTTCCTTCATAAATTACCCAGTTTCAGGTATTTCTTTACAGCAGCATGAAAATGGGCTAATACAGTATATAACTGTTAGTTAAAGGAGTAATATAAGCATAAGTTTTATCCTGCAAACCATTTTCTTCCAAGATGTAGGAAATCTGATTATATTGGTAATTATTGGTTCACATCCTCACATTTTCACAAACTAGAGAGTATAATCTTTTCTGAAAATTCCAGTTCTAAATAGGTAAAACTCTTAATGACCTTACTAGAGTCATATCTATTCCTCTCTTCTCTTTTGAACCAAGCACTGTAGTCAGGAGAATAAGGTGTTATGATTTGTGTGTTTATCTCTCTATGGTAGCTGTAGTCATGGGGGTGTCTTTCATCCATTTGCTGTGGCTGGGGAGCTTCTGGCTTCTATTTTAGTAGATTCTCTAAATATGAGAATACTTTCTGGCTCAGCCTTGAGATCCCATCTCATCTCTATCTATGCTTGCTTCATATGCAATTTCATTGAATTTGAAGGTTTTAAATAATGTCTTAATACTGCTGACTCCAAACCTCATCCTTTCATGCCAGGCTTGCATTTTCTTTAACTTTTCTGGCTATTTTATGGACACCTTAAATGAGTTCAAAACTGTATTCTTGACACACCTCTGTCTCTTCATATAAATAAGTGGTCACGCTTTCTACTCAAATAACCAGGCAAAATGAAGGCTATTCCTTTGATTTGTACTTCACTGAATCTTCTCTTCTCATACCAATTCATTAGCAAATCTGTTAACTGTAACTTCAAAATGTATCTTAAATCTATTCATTTCTATCTATCTGTAATGCCCCATCTTATCGAAAGCCACAGTCACCTTTCACTTAGAATATTGTTACAATCCTGTAATCGCTCCCTCTGTTTCTACTCTTACTTTCCTCTAATTTATTTCCCCCCCAACTATAGTCATATCAACCATCAAGTCATATCATTTTCCTGCTTTTAACATGCCGTGCTTTTCCTATGACACTCAGAATGAAATTCAAATCCTTTTTTCCTGGTTTTCAAAGCCCCTACAGCATTTTATTTGGGTACTGTGTTCACCCAACTGAACACTGATCAGAAGGGGACATTATTAGAGAAGGAAAGCACAACACCATAAGTTAATAGAAATAAAATAAATAAGTAGACTTATGGTGAAATGTACTCACCTGCAAGTCATTCTTAAAAAAAAGGAATTACAGAATGTTTACCTTCTTATGATATCAGACTCTCAGACGGAGAGGCTGGCCACATTAATCTGAATTATCTTCAAAGGTTGAACTGCTCATGCTCCACATCTTGTTGCTTTGGTGATGAAGTGCCTGTATAATGATATTTATTCAATAAGTAGAAAAGCCACATGTAAATTCAAGGCAGATCAAAGCATGGTCTATGTAGCTACTTTTTGGGGGAAGGCATATGGAAGGGTTTATAGAAGTACTGCATCAAACACACACACACACACACACACACACACAAATGGGACAATAATGTAGAGAAGACCTAACGCTTTAACAGCACTCACCCTGACCTTAGCCAGATATTGTAAATAAATTTTTTAAGCATCTATGTTGCCATTCTACTCTTATCTGATCTATTGCTGAATGAAACTAAACCTTGGAAGGAATAGAGTAGGGAGTGAATAATTTTCTCTGAGTTTGAATAACATTCGGATTTCACTTTATACACTTTTGTAGGTGTTCATATAATTTATTGTCCAATTTAGGCCACAACTGAGAATGAAAAGGGATACTAAATACATTGCAACAAGTATAAACTGGGTGTATTCAAGGGAAACAGATATATGTATGGTCCCATAATGACTCTCCTCTTTGTTTAATATGTTTAGATGCACTTGTTTTCTTCTGACTCTTCAAAACATCACATTCTGTCTTGTCTTAGGCTATTGTAGTAACTGTTCTTTTACTTTGAATACTTTTCCCCTAGATTGTTACAAAAAAAGCATCTTTTGGACATTTATACCCTAAATCACCCTAATATCACCTTTTAAAATGGTCTTCACTGGCACCCCAACCTAAAGTTTCCTTACGTCATTTATCACATATCATATGATGAATTTTTTCATCATATGCATATTATAACTTTATTTTTCATATGTCCTTTTTGGTTGCATCATCCAAAATTTAAATGCTAAGCCTCCCAACCAGCTGAATGGACCCCTAGTCTCAGCCAATGGGATTTCCAAGAATCCTAAAAACAACTAGTTCAGGCCATGAGGGGAAGGAAAGCTTGGACATGGCTCATTACACTTTCCTCCCTTTGGAATTCAGCCACAGCTAACCAGTGTTACTACTAAAACAGATATCTTAAGACAAAACAGATTCTTTGTAGCAATAAGACACAAAATTCCAACCTAACTCTAGTATAGCGTCATATGGCAGATAGCAGGCCCTGATGAAAACTGAAGTATTTTACACCCAAATATATTTCTTTGGCATGTTTTAAAGTGATGCTGAGAAACTATCTCTTGTAGGGAAAATCCACATTCTGTAGAGAATTTCCATCCCTTTCCAGGTCTGTTTCTGATCCTGAAGGGGTTAGCTAAGAATGTAGTACCTTTTAAAGGTCTGAGTAGAAAAAAACTTGCCATATATTGCCTCTTCGGGGTGGTCACCTATGATACTTCATATACATAATAAGAACCTTGGTCTCTACAACCCCTTATCTTAAAGCAGACACTCCTTTCTATTAATTCCAGGTCTGTAGATAATAGCTTTCAGGTGTTTCAACCAATTGCCAATCAGAAAATCTTTTAATCCACCTATGACCTATCAGGCTCTTCCCACCCTTTCGAGTTATCCCACCTTTCTGGACTGAACCAATGCATACCTTACATGTATTAATTGAATTGATTGCTATCGTGTTGCTAATTTAATTGATTGTTGCTAGTTGAATTGATTGCTATCATGTTGTTTTATATGTTTTCAAGATAAAACCAATCTATAACACAACCACTTTGAGCACATGTCTTAGATTCTCCTGGGTCTGTTCATACTGGTCATGGTCCTCACATTTGGCTCAGAATAAATCTCTTCAAATATTTTTCAGAGTGTGGCTGCTCTCATCAACAGTTTGTTGAACAGATCTCCAAACTACAAAATAAATTCCTAAGGGCAGTACCCCAACTATCAGAAGACTAAGTATTTAATGTTTGAAAATACATGAGTGAATAATTGAAATTAAGTAGTTACTATTGTGTTGGGGTCATATTTAAAACAATCATTTATACTTAGTTCTATAATTTTTCGATTTAGTGTCCACATTTGTGTTTTTATACTACAAATTCCCATGATTTTTATTTTTTTAACTATTTCTTCTTTACTTGAAATTTATCTTGAGTACTTTTATAAGGAAGAACATGTTTGTCCTCATATTAAGGCCTGGTAGGACTTTTTTGCTTTTATTTCCTTCCTCTATGAAATAAAGTTTAATTGAGTATGAAAACTCTCTCGGGGTTGCTCCATTGTCTTCTGGAGTTTAAATTTAGGGACACAAATCTTTATTTTTTGACTCTTCCAATTTTTCTTCCATTGTAAGTAATATGTCCCATTCTCATTTTCATTTTCTAGCCTAAGTGGTTGCAAGTGAATTTCTTTATTCTCGATTTTCAAAATATTTCACTGGGCCACATGTAAGCATTGCTTACCTTATATAACCTTTTCAAATGGGTATCTGTGATTTAGAAAGGGTCTTTTTTGCTCAGAAAATCTTGACTTTATTACACTTTAATTACCATTTATAAAATTTCTGTGAATACCTTTTTTTCTTTAGAAACACACATTTTGTCAATTCAATTTCTTCACTCTGTTATCCCATTGCCAACTCTGTTACGTCAGTATTACTTTTCTTACTATTCTTACTCTATTTAGTATTTTACCTCTTTATTTTATAGGAACTTCGCTGACTTATTCTTCACATTGTGTTTTTGTTGTTGTTGTTTCCCAGAGTAGATTCTGGGCCTTCTATTTTCTAATGCTCATTAAAATCCTGATTTTTCAGCTCCTTTATATTTTCTCTATATAAGTCTTTTTAAGTGTTATTACCTCCCATATCTAAACTAGCTTTTATTTCATATTAGCCAATTCTTCAACCTTTATTCAAATACTATATTTTATTCATAAAACACAGTGGAAACATTCTAAAAGGTGTGTGTTTTTACAGTAGATATTTCTCAAAACTCATGTCCTTCCCTTGCCTCTTAAGTGCCACCATCATTTCTCCAGTACAATATATTTAAACCTGGGATATTAACCTAGTGGTCTGAAAAAAGAGGGTGACAGAAACTGAAGTAAAAGTGGAAAGAAAAGACCAGTGACCTGGAAATCTCTGATTAGACAGATTAACTTTGAAGAATTTTGAGGCAATGTGGAGATTTCAAAAACCTTTTTAAAATGAAGTTTCTCTATTTATTTGTGAGTGAAAATGGTGAAGTTGAAGTAAAAATGGAACAGAAACCTCAGAGTTTCTAGAACACTGAAGAATCATGAGGAATAAAATAAGTCGTGGATTCTTTCAAGATTTCTCCAAATTCAAGTTTCCAGAGTCAGGGCAGAGATCTTTGTTTCTGGTGGCCTTAACTTACAAAATAAAAATTAAAAAAAAAAAAAAAAAGTAGACAATGAGGTCATATTCAACAGAGGATAGTGGTAGGATTGCTATCTGGAGATCTCAAGAATCTCCTGTGGGCTGCTAGTTCCAAGAAGTTCAAGTAAGGCGCTGCTTCAATTTTCATTTCAAGGAAACATTCATTAATTGATAATAGATGCACTTTGCCCTGAATTATTTTCCTCTGCATCTTAAAGTGCTTCACAACACACATCATACCTTACAATTTATGGATGGAGATTTAAAATTATTTTTATATAGCTTCCCAACAGCTGTAGGTAAGTTAAACGACTACTACTTAAGTTTGTTATAACCTTTAGTGGTCACAATTTAGATTGTACAAACCCTTTTGTTGGTTGTGTTAAATAATTCATCCAAACAGCATTCCTTCAATAAAATAATAATAATAAGTGGTTACCGTGAGAGAACTGCTATGCTGGGTGCTTTTGAAATGTAAATAGAGATTTCTGCCCATTAGGTGATCACAGCCTATTATTGAAGGTAGGAAAAGCAGGACAGTGTGACTTTTAAACTGCAAGCAATAAATTCCATAGAAACAATGACATTCATCTTCATATTCTTTATAATAATTTGTGCAGTACCTGGAACATAACTAGTACGCTATAAATGGCAGAATTATATCAATTCCCTTTGTCTAAGCTTGATCTCTAAGGAACTAATGTCCGCTTTTTGAGGCTATAGGACTGATTTTATATTGATATATTTAGTATTTTCCAACTAGCAAATGATTGGGCACACTGGAATTGTTTGTTAGGTATCCATTTATGGATTTAATGATATTCCAGGAAATTACTTTCTTTAGGAGATATTCACATAGCATTCAAAGTAACCTGAGACACTATGTCTGAAGAGCACACCTACTAACATGAGCTAAAAATCTTGAAAGAAATGATTTGATAGCTTGCCTTTGTTATTTTCAAATATTCAGCTTAAAGTGAAGGTTTTGTGGGTGTGTGTGTGAGTGTGTGTGTTGAGAACAAAAAATTGATTTATCAATGTTCAAGTCAATAACAATACTATATGTTGTTATTAAACATTGATATTAAATATAGTTACCAACATGTAAGTTAAATATAGTCAACAATATATTGTTTTTAAATATAGTCACCCTGATGTATGATAGATACCTTGAACTTATTTCTCCTGTCTAACTGAAATTTTGTGTCCTTTGACCAACATCTTCCCCATCCGTACACCCTCTAGGTTCTGGTGAATGCCATTCTACTCCCGGTTGCTGAGTTTAACTTTTTTAGATTTCACATATATATGAGATAATGACCACATTTGTCTTTCTGTGCCAAGCTTATTTTGCTTAACATAAAACCCTCCAGTTTTATCTATGTTGTCGCCAATGACTGGATTTCCTTCTTTCCTAAGTCTGAGTCCTGTTCTATTGTGTATCTATACCACATTTTATGTATCCATTTATCCACTGATGGACACTTAGGTTGGTTTCATATCTTGACCATTATGAACAATGCTGTAATAAATATGGATGTAGATATCTCTTCTACATATTGATTTTGTATCTTTTGAATATATACCTGCTAGTGGGATTGCTGGATCATATGGGAGTATTTTTTAATTTTTTGAGGAACCTCCATACTGTTTTCCATAATGCCTGTCCTAATTGATGTGAAGGTTTTAATTATTAGAAAGCTATTATGAGAAAAGT